CTCCACCAGTCTCAAATCTAAGAGCGGCCCTAAGGCCACTCCCCCTCTTCTCGCAATTGGCTCTTCTAAAGCTGTTGCTTCTGTGGGTACCAAGAAGATCACCCCCAACTCTTCTTCCACATGCATGCCGCCCGGCTCGGCATCGCATCTCACACACCCCAAGCCAACGGTTCAATCACTGGCCCATCTTAGCCGAAGGACCATAAGGTCACTCGACACACTTTTACACCCACTACGAATAACGGCCTAGATGTTGGTTCGTCTTCTCGGGCAAGCAAAAAGCTATCCCGATCTCTCGCACGCTCTGGGTCTCTTGGGACCCAGACCCACTGTCAAGAGTGACTCTCAAGTCACTCCAATTGCATTGCGTACTACTCACTCAGCTCAGGGGTAGCTCAAATGTCATCCCCAAAGAGCACACGATCGACCCAGTCGTAGGTCAAATGCACACATATATTTGCATGCAAACAATGGTAACCATAAAAGGCCACTCTAATCACTAAAGCCGACATCCCAAAGGCCGGACCTTCTACCTCACTAAGGATTGGCCCCCATGCTGCCCCAAACACATCTTCGAGCTGTGCACACACAAACAGGTATGACATTGCCCCTAGTTCTAAGGGCAAACATGAAAAGAGTCTAGAAGAACTTCTCGCCTAAGCTCGGGGGCAGTTCTACCTGGCCATCAAGAAGGGAAACAACGGTCAAGCTCGGATATGGGGCCGGGAGACCAAGATGTTGCAAGCCCGACTTAAGAGCAAAGAAGATTCTTCCTCTCAAGAGGATAACCCATTCTTCCTCCTTGCTACCCTTGGCTCTAGTGAGGTCGAAGAATCTTGTCGCATGATACAGGTCAAAGAGGTTGCTTGGGGCATAGTGGGGCTAGCTATCTATATGGTCCAAAGTCTGACTTGGGACAAAGAAGAGCCTACAAACGGGGCAAAGAGCTAGTTTGACATCGACAACCCCATAAAGTCCAGACAACCTGAGCCACTACCCATTCATGCCCCTAAGTCAAAACTTGATTGGCTTGATCTTGTTGCAACTCAAATCCTCAAAGAATCTCCACTCGAGCCCATTTCAAGTCGGGGCACCCAAAGCAGTAGCCTTCCCAAGGCAACCAGGTCCGAGCATGTCATGAGGTCGGAGCTTAAGGCAGCTCAATCTGAGCTCAGGGCAGCTCATGAGCCAGAAGAAGTCTCACCTAGACTCATATTGAGTAAGGAAACACCAACTTGAGATAGTTCCCAAGTCTCAAATGACATGGAAGCCGAACCCATGGATGGGGCAAAGGTCCAACTCCAAAACAAGGGCTCGATTAAGCCAATTAGTCCTAAGTCGCCTATGACCAAGAAGCCAAAATTCGACCTTCTTAAATTCGTGAGGAGTCTATTATGTAGGGGTAGCTCTCAAGTTTTGACAAGGGTGATATTGAGCCCAAGGAAGTTATGGAGCATGTGGAAAAGAATGTTGTGGTCCCCTCTAAAGAAGCCATTATATGCTCACTTAAGAAAAGTACCCTCTAGATGGTGCAAGTTTTGAACCAAGAGGAGATTGGTTTCACGACCATGTCGCAAGAGAATGACCCACCATATCCACCCCACAATCTTCACCGACGTCCTGGCTCCTCATATTGAAATCAAAGAGTAAGTCAATATTGCTAAACTGCTTCAAAGGGTTGAGAGACTAATTGCCAAGATAAACGTCATGAACAAGGAAAATGCTCTATCATCGTTCATCCTCGATACTCCTTTACTCGGATTCATCCTAGAATCTAGGAGATTGAATTAACCAGATTCTTCTTTGGCCAATTCAGATGATGCCGCCTCCCTTACCCTCACATGTCCAATCACCCCATCTTCTGATGAGAGCTTGCCACTCTCATTTGAGGAAAACCACTCCCTAACATTGGATGGGATGAGGTGCATTCTCTCTATTGGCAACCTCACTAAAGTGGCTTTGCCATGCCCTAAAGATGCCATGATTCCTTATGATGACAATTACATGTTATCTTCATGTCTCGAAAGCTTATTGTGTTATCTCGATGATGATGTGATCTTGTTGTCCTATGAGAGTTTCACATTCTCATTCGATGATGAGCATATCCATGCCTTGAAAAATGAAGTGGGTCCGAGGGAAAGCCCAATAAACATCATAAATGATGTTGTTGAAGTAGAAGCTATCGAACCCATGATCAAAAATTCCATCGAACAAGAGGCATGTAGTGAGAAAATCATACCACTCATGGCTCTCTTGAGCCTCCATCATTCATGTTTCGAGGGAAATCACATGACTATTACCTCAGTCCTGAACCGTGCAGCACTTCAAATGTCATGTGTAACCCATTTTTCCATAAGTCGTTATTCAACCTGTTGAGAGACCTGTAGTTGTCCCTGGGACATTGCACCTTATGGTGGCCCATGATCTCACTCCATGTCATGTGTGCCCCTATCTTCACATCCAACAAGAGTTATGACATTAAAATATCCTCGAGTTCGTCGATTAGGGGTTATGACGATTAAAGACCCCCTGCACATGTCCAATAAGAGTTATGACGTTAAAAGATCTTCGATTCGTCCATCGAGGGTTATTACGATTAAAGGCCCCTTGTACACGTCCAACAAGAGTTATAACATTAAACGATCATCGAGCTCGTCCATCAGGGGTTATGACGATTAAAGACCCACTGCACACGTCCAATGAGAGTGAAGACGTTAAAAGCCTATTTATGTCCAACAAGGGTGAGGACTTGAAAAGCACCTCTAGTTTGGTCTAAAGTAGGTGAAGACATTAAATTTTCTCTCAACAGTCCAACATTGGTGAGGACTTTAAAAGCACCCCTATCTAGTCTAAACAGAGTGAGGACCTTAAACTTTCCCTCGATGAGGTGATCACCCCACCTTTATCTCCTCTCTTCGTTATAAAACCCCTGCCTAGGCGCAGGCCCGTCAAATGTTACTCCATCTCTCTTTTCTCTTTCGTCAACAACCTCTCTCTTTTCTCTTTCGTCAATTGCTCCAAGCCTGCGTTTAGGCGTGGGCACATTTACCTTCTCTCACTTCACTATCTTCTCATCTCTCAATCAACTTACACGAGCCCATGGTTTAGCCATGAGCTACACGAGCCCATGGTTTAGCCATGAGCTCAACACACACTTGTGCATATTTGACACAAGGCGAGCAAAAAGAGCTATGCTCTTTGTTCTACCTACGCACACTAACCCCTTAGTGGGGAACCTCAAGCTACATAGTCTTAAAATATATTTTCATAGTTATTTATAAAGTTCGAAGCTTAAAAAATAATGTAGATCGACATATAGATGAAAACTTGAAAATCTTGAAAATTGACGGTCTAAAAATGCGTTACAAAATACACTATTTCCAAAACTTGAAATCCATTTTTTTCTCATGTCCATGCATCTTGATATTGAGATGATCAATTTGAAGATATTTGGGCATGAAAATAACCTTTTCTAGTGAACTTTTTGAAGTAGGCTCAAATTTGATTGTTTAGAGCCTCGACTCTATATAAACTTTTTCCTAGAAGTTATATACTTCCCCCTGTCCAGGTGTCAAATCTTAATGGACGGCTGAGATGGAGCCAATCACAATGTCTCGCCTCTATATTGTTTTATTTTTATTTTATTTTATAAAATATTTTAACATCAAATTTTGCGCGATATACTACTCTCTTCAACCAACACCTGTAAAAAATACAAAAAAAATATTATTGAAAAAATAAAATAACCAAAATACCCCTGGAGTTTTAAGAGTATTTTGATATTATATTTTATCAAAAATATTTTTTAATAGTTTTTAGTTGCAAAGACAAGTACCAGATTTCATATTTATATGATTTATGAGAAAAAAAGTAAAAAATAAAATAAAAGAAAAAGTTTATATAGAGCTGATGCTCTAAACAATCAAATTAGAGCCTACCTAAACAATTTCATTAAAAGAGGTTGTTTGATGCCTAAATATCCTCAAATTGATCATCTTGACTTCAAGATTCATGGGCATGAGAAAAAACAATGGATTTCAAGTTTTAGAAATTGTCTATTTTTTTAATGTATTTTTGGACCGTCAATTTTCAAGATTTTCAAGTTTTCATTGATCTATCGATCTACAATATTTTTTAAGCTTTAAACTTTATAAAAGAAATGGTAATATATTTTAAGGCTATCACAAAGATTTCCGATATTGAAACCATATTTCTTGACACTATTTGAAGGTAGGCTCTAATTTGATTGTTTAGAGCCTATGCTCTATACGAACTACACCCTAAAATAAAATACGCATTGGATTAGTAATTCTTTGTGATTGGTTACTCGTTACCACATTATTTTTTCAAGGGAAAATTACAAAAAACTCCAACTCTACACTTTCAATGCAACTTACACTCAACCTAACTCCTTTTCTCACTTTTTTCCCTAAATATACTTTCTATGCAAATATCGTCAACCAAAAAAAAGCCTAAACTCTGCTCCCTTATTTTTACCTTACCCACGTCTCTCTCCTCTATCCTACCAAAATAGGGCACCCACGGTCTCTCCCTCTTCTATCCCACCAAACTAGGGATCCCACCAAAATAGGGGAAAGGGCGGTCTCACAGTAGATGTTACTCGATTCCAGGACTCCTGTAGTATTCAATTTCGGTTCGATAGTTATCTTAGGGCGGTCCGACACTTGAATTTATGTAAATGGCGGTCTAGCAATGCGATGGTACGCTCTGGTAATGTGCTACTGTGTCGGGTCCAAAAGTAAACATCAAATCTGAGCAAAATGATTTTTGTTTACGGGGAAAGGTATTTCAGTATAAAAATATAAACGTTTGCCTTAGGTATACACAAAGTATCTTCGAAAAAAAAGTGAGAAAAAAGTTTGGGTTGGGGGTAAATTGTATAGAAATTGTCGTTTGCGGTTTTTTATTGTAATTTTATGCATTTTTAAATGGGAAGCGAATTTGGTTTGGTATGGCATTACAGTAGTCGCAAGCGCGCGTTCCCTTGCGCTCGTTACTTCAAAGTTCAAAAAAACTTCTGTTCATTTTATTTCACAAGAGATGGAAGGAGAGCAGCGCGTGCAAGATGAGTACCCTCCCTATGGTTCAATTTAATGCGGCAATGGGTTGAATATCATATCCGCTGATCGATCGATCCAAACCAGAGGAAAATCAATGAGTTCGGGCTCCCCTCGAACCCGCATCGATCAGGTGGGTGTATTCTTCAAAATAGAGATTTCTCAGTTTTTTTTCTCCTCCTTCCTCTAAAAAATTTCGCAGTTTTTCTTCTCCTCCTTCTTCCTCTTAAAAATCATAAGTGATTGTTTGAACTGCGATTTGTGTTTGATATTTTTTTCAATCATAACAACATATACGTTGTTTTTTGGAGTTTTTTAAGGTTTCGTTGAGTATTTCTGGAATGTTTTTTGTTGCTTCAGCACAATTAGGGCGTTTCATGAATTAGAATAATTAGAATGCAAATTATTCACTCGGCATATATTATAACAAATAGGAAAAAGAAAACAAAAAGAAATGGCATAAGTACCACCAAAGCTGCAAAAGGAGAAGAAGCTGAAGTTGATGAACAACGCTTGATATTACAGTAACAATACTCCTTTCCTCCGAAATTTGAATCATGTTATCAGAAAGAATAACCTTACCAAAGATTTTTTTTTTTGGGTAAAGCTTTCCTGAAGGTGAGAAGGGGGTGGCAACAATTAGAAGACCTTTTTTTTGGGTCTGAACAGTAAAGACTCAATTCTCAACAAACTTTTTGAATCCACACCTGTCTTACTCCTATTCTGTTGGGTGACGTCTACATTGAAACGGTGAACTTTTTGAATCACACCTCTTATTCCTATTTGTTTGGTGATGTCTACACTGAAAGGGTGACGTCCCATTCATCTCTTCTAGATTGATTTTAATGTCCTCCTGGAAGATTTCGCAGTTTTCGGCTGGACTCTGCATTTTTTTTTTAACTTTTAAGGAAGAAAAACAGAAATATTTCGTAGGACTTTATTGGTCTCTGGAATTTTCCACAGCCTCCAACCCTGAGACAAAAGAAATGCTGTCTGCCTACTAGCAGCATGGTTGACTTGTTCATAGTCACTTCTGCTGATGGACCACAATGATTTGTTCCAACTACTAATATTCAGGATGTGCTATACAGCCTTCATAATTTGATGTTTTTGGCATCCCACTCCAGGTTTATTCTGTAACTTTCAATATATACATATCTTGAGTTTTGGTTCATGTTTTTTACCTTTCCTATGTTTTGGTACATACTCATATCCGGAACTCGTTTTACGATTCGATGCATGAACCTTTGGAGCCAAGATTTTTCTGACTGGGCTGGGCTTCCATTCCTTAATACAAAAGTGGTTGAAAGCCTCTCTTCCCTCTTTGAATGCCTCTTGGATTTCTCTTCCTCTTTATTTCCTTGCTTCAGTTCTGTATGGGTAAATTAGTCCTTCGCTAATTTATCCTCATGGCAAAGAAGTGGTAGGTTGTGCATTCTCATGGTTTAATTGGATCATCTGCATCACATATGACTCACTTTTTATCTGACTCGTTGTAATTGTCTCTATTTTACAGTTTTTCCCCTCCAGGAAAAGGAAACCTCCATCTCCGTGCTTGAAGGAAGAGAAAAATGATAAGCACATCAAAAATAAAGCTGATGGGTCACCCAGCACTAAATGTAGTTTGGAATTCGATTTTGTAGATTCTCATGGTGCTGGACTTCCACCCAAATGCGCTACATCAGATGGTGGTGCTTCTCTAATAAGTGACAAGGTCCAGAGAGACTTGATACATGAGATTAATAAAGCAACAGATGATGCACACAATTTCTCATCTTTGGACTGTGCAAAAGGAAGGGGGAGAGAAAGTAAAAATGAGATTGTTGAGAAACCATTGTGTGAGCGAGATTTTGTTGGTGAAATTGGTGCAACAAAATGTAGTTTTGTTTCTAGATTTTCTCATAATCTGGTCCCGGGCGTCGAAATTCCTGCAAAAGAAGAGAAACCCATTGCTGGTGTTAAGAACAATTTAGAGCACAACGAGTTTGTCAAAGATTTTTTGTCCCTCTATTGCGAGTGAGGTGTTCTTGTACATTCTTTGTTTTTACTTTTTTAGTGTAACACATTTGTCGAATTGTGGTACATTTGTTCTTTACTCGATAATCATATGTCCTTACTTTGAGCAATGTTTTTCTGATTTCGTCATAAGAGATCAACCAGCTGTAAGTCTTTCCTTTTTCTTCATTGTGGTGAAATTGTTGTCCCATGAAGCATCTCTCTTTATTTGCAGGGAGATCTCGACAAGTGCAGGTGATATTTCTGGGCTTCCTTTAGCTGTTCAGAGTGTTAATATTTGCAAGAGAAAAAGTAGCTCTACTCGGCTTTCAGATGAGAGGATTACATGCAAGAAGCAATGTGTTTCAGATCATTCCCAATGTTTATCAGAGGTTGGGAATGCTTCCTCATATCACGAGGAACCTGAGCAATGTGGGAGGAAAAATACAGCTTCTTCAAATGTAGAACGAGGCGAGGGGGTTGAGGTAATCTCCATAGTGAGTGAGTGTACTATATGCTATATTTAATTGTCAGAGTTCATTTAGTTTCTGCCTTTTGCAGGTTGCAGGAGTTAATCGAGGCAAGGAATCCAAAGGCAAAAAAGTTGGACTAGGTACAGTTTTGAGGAAATGTGACAAAACTCCTAACTCAGGCTCTGGGAGAATTTGCTTTCAAACGCCGAGTTCATCAGCCAGTGTTAAACATTCATCTGGCACTCGTGGGTGGTCATATCGGGGCTCCCTTTTTTCGCCTGGTGATGAGTTTTGGACTGAAGCAATTCAAGTTGCTGATGGATTTGCTCCCAAGAATGAATGTTCTATTGCAGCTGTTTGCTGTACAAAGAACAGTAGAACTGTGGACTCTATGAAGAAGCATTCTAAAGAAAATATGGACATGGAGAATGGTGGCCCATCATTGCTTTTGCATAGAGAAAGATCTCCACTGCCTGTGAAACATTTTGACTTCTCATGTGACGGAAAGCATTTAGATGGGAAAACTTCGACCAAGTGTTTTGTAGATGGTATGGACCATTCTACCCTCGATGGGTGCAAAACTTTGGAAACTGGCAACTTAAACTGCAAAGGAAAGCAGGCCCTAATGACTAATAATGATGGCATCTCAGCACAAGCAAAGGAGGATAATTGTGAATCCCCAGGTAAGGTACTTTTGGCCATTCGTGAGCAGGATCCGACTTTGGCTGTTCTGAGTGGAGCACATTCAACTACTGCTTCTGAAGTAGGACGGGACAAAATAGTTGCACTTGTTCCAAAGGTGAATGGCATTGTTTCAAGTGATGACAAGCTTTTAGAAAGTGTGCATGGTATTGATGAGGCACAAAGGGAACCCAAGAGAATTTCAGTTTGTGATACAACACTAAATGTGAATGGTACACCATCAAGTTCTACTTCTTTAAATGGTCACCTACAGCTGCGGACCTGGCTTCCTTCTAAAATATGCGAAGTATATTTAAAGAAAGGCATTTCAAGACTTTATCCCTGGCAGGTAAAACCCTTATGAGATTATATTTGCATCCTATGTTGCCTTGTTTTCTCTCTTTTTCTTTTTCTGTTGGATTAGTTGCCTTGTTTTTCTCTTGAAGAGGATAAATCATTTCCATGGTGGTGGTGATTTGTCATCTACCTAATTTATGTTCAAGAGATCCATGGATGTCCTTGAGGTTGAGGTGGAGATGGATTCAACACATTACCTTAGTGATGCAAGGGAAATTGAGGGAACAGTAAAATCAGCAAGAAACATGCCAAACACAAGCACAAGTTGAAGAAACCATAGGTTTCTTCTTGACACCCACGCTAAGGTTGCAAAAGCCTAAGCTTTTCTCTCTTTCAATTTCTAAAAATCATGTGGAATTGATCTGACCTTCTCAAGGCTCTACATACCTTTATATATTATAATTCAATGTTTAACAATATTATATGTCCACACAATGATTAAAAAGACTGATATATCCTAACTTAAACTTAAATTTCATAATGACAATTTTACCCCTGTGAACTACATGAACAATACTCGTGAATAGTATTAGTGAATAGTACTCATGAAATAAATAAAAAAACTATTAAAACCCTAGAATTCCTATAAAACTAAAAACCTTAGAAATAAACTTTAAAATTAAAACTATAATGTACATCATTTGAAATTAAATAAAAAATAAAAATAAGTATAATTTTGCCCTCCATTATTCTCCCCTAGTTGGATAAAACCCGTTCTCGAGTTTTGAAGTGTGCTAAGATGAATTCAGTGTCAAAACTACCTTCTTCAACTTTCTTCTTCTTTGTTGGCTTAAAGATTATTCGTGGTAAAAATAATTCCTCAAGAAATGGTTCCTAATATGTATATTGAGGAATTAGGGCTACAATTTGCATATTATGAATCAACCATGCTTTCACTGCACTATTCTGATTCCAATGCCATGCCCTAAATCTCTTGAATGCTCCACCTCTTCAATATTAATGAGATCTTCAAAGGCCGTGATGTGGATCATTCCTCTTGTTGCCTTCTCTCCATATTCTTCACCTCTTCCAAAATCTCTTTATATCATATTGATCCTTATCATAGTTCTGATCTCCTAAGAAATCTTGTTGTTCATCTGAGTAAATATCGAAGATTGATGGTGAAACAACTTGCTGATTTTCAATACAATTTGTGTCGAAATCAAAAATCTCATTTTTCAAATAAAAAACCCTAGAGTGACGCTCCCCACGTCTAGGTATTCTATCGCTATCCTCATCACTTAACTCTACACGCAGAGTGCGAAAATGAAAAGGTTTGTACTCGAGATCCCCATGGGCTGAAAGATCACCGTCTTGCCCATTAATGAGGCTAGTGAACTGCTGTGCCAGCTGCTGTACTTGCCTTTCAAGTTCCTCAATTCTATCATCTATGGGATCACAGAGTCGATCTACGAAAATCTCCCTTCTACGGCCCCTTTTCACTGCCATGGGTTTGCTGAAATCATAAAACTTAGGCAAATAATCAACAAAAAATGTTGAAATTAGCAAGATGTAGGTTGTTTTGGCAAAACTTTGGCCAAAATAAGCAAACCCTAGACCCCACTATAACTTTCCCCTCTTTGTTGTTGAATTAGGCACTAAAAGAAGTGGTGTTACAGTAATTTCGTACGTGTTATAATAATTTCCATATGTACTACAATAACTTCCGTGTAGATCGCGGGCTCTGATACCAATTTGATGCAGGGAAAATTGAGGGAACAATAAAATCAATAAGAAACATGCCAAACACATGCACAAGTCGAAGAAACCATAGGTTTCTTCGACACACCCAAGCTAGGGCTGCAAAAGCCTAAGCTTTCCCTCTTTCAATTTCTTAAAATCATGCGGAAGTGACCCTCTCAAGGCCCCATGTACCTATATATATTATAATTCGATGTTTAAAGACATGACATGTCCATACAATGATTGAAATGACCTATATAACCTAACATAAACTTAAATTTTGTAGTGACAATTTTACCTCTGTAAACAATACCTTTGAACAATACTCGTAAATAGTTATCCTAAAATAAATAAAAAAATTATAAAACCCTAGAATTCCTAAAAACTAAAAACCTATAAATAAATCCTAAAACTAAAACTATAATATACATCATTTAAAATTGAATAAAAATAAAAATATGTATAATTTTGCCCTCCATCACTTAGGATGTGTGCCTTGCTTCCCTCAGCTGCTACTTTTCCCATGCTAAGATTATCCTATTTGCCTAGAAATTTGTTTTCTATGAGATGATTGACTTACAATAGTGCATTTTCTTGTACATAGGTTGAATGTTTGCAGGTGGATGGCGTTCAACAAAAACGGAATCTTGTTTACTGTGCTTCAACGAGGTATGCATTTGAAATTTTTTTGAGCTTCTTCCTAATAGAACTCTCTTTAGTGCTATGCTATCTTATTAATGCTATCCAATCCAATTTAAGTTAGTCATTCCTGAATTGATGTTCCAACTACATATACATTAACTTTCTAAAACTTTCACTTCTATAATGTTGTTTCAAATAGGAAAGAAAAGAAACTTTAAACTTTTATTTGTCTTGCTTGGCTTGGTTCTTTAAACTCCAGAGAATAGGAGCAACTTGGTTTCTAATGTAGTCCAAAGTTAGAATTCAATCGTTGATGCAGGAAAATTTGAGGGAATATTAAAATCAGCAAGAAACAAAGCCAAACAAAAGCATAATTCAAAGAAACCTAGGCTTTCTTCTCCATACCCCAAGCTAGGGTTCCAAAAGCTTAAGCTTTTCTCTCTTTCAATTTCTAAAAATCATGTGGAATCAACCCCCTCAAGGCCCCACACACCTCTTATATACTATAATTTAACATTTCAAGTACAAAAAGTGCCCAAACAAATAACACGTTGACCCATTTATGCTAACTTAAAATTTGAAATGTCAGTTTTACCCGTATAAATAGTACCTGTGAATAGTACTCGTGAATTGTAGAATAGTAGTCATGAAATAAATAAAAAAATATAAAAACCCTAGAATTTCTAAAATCTAAAACCCTAAAAATAAACTTTAAAACTAAAACTATAATACTCATTTGAAATTGAATAAAAATAAAAAATAAGGATAATTTGCCCTCCATCATTCTCCCCTTGTTGGAGAAAACTCTTTATCGAGTTTTGAAGTGTGTTAAGATGAATTCAACATAAAAAATACTTTCTGCAATCTTTCTTTTCGTTGGTGGCTCAAATATCATTCGTGGTAAAGATAATTCTTCAAGGAATAAATTCTTATATTATATTGAGGAATCAATCTAAATTTATCAAATACGGTTATCCTTGAACTCCAATTAAAAATTGCATAGGAAATTACAAACCCAATTTTTGGTCTTTAGAGGATTTCTTCTCATCTATTTCATTTACTCTTTGAAATCTGGGCCACGACTTGCAGATTCTGAATTGACCATACTTCCATTGCATTACTATGATTCCAATACCTTGAATTTCTTGAATGCTCTACTTTTGCAATATTAATAAGATCTTCAAAGGCCATGATTTTGATCAGTCCTCATGCTGTTTGCTCTCCATATTCTTCACCGTCTTCCAAAATCTCTTCGTCATCATCTCAAGTCTTATCATAGATCAAATCTGTTAAAAGATCTTGTTGTTCATCTGGGTATATTGAAGATTGGTGGTGAGTCCCATTCTTCAACTTACTGATTTTCGATGTAATTTGTATCAAAATAAAAAATCCCATCCTTCAAATCGAAAATCTTAGAGTTATGTTTCCAATGTCTAGGTCTTCTGTTATTTTCCTCAGCGCTCGACTTCTCACACGGAGCGCGAAAGTGAAAAGGCTTGTACTTGAGAACCTCTTGGGCTGAAAGATCACCATCTTGCCCATTATTGAGGTTCGCGAGCTACTGGGCAGCTGCTAAACTTGCCTTTCAAGTTCCTCAATTCTGCCATTTATGGAATCACAGAGCGGATCTATGAAAATCCCCCTTCTACGTCCCCTTCTCGTTGCCATGGGCTCGCTGAGATCATAAACCTTGAGTAAATCATTAACAAAAAAATTACTAAAATCAACAATAGGTTGTTTTGACAAAACTTTGCCAAAATCAGCAAAACCTAGACCCCCATTGTAACTTCCCCGCTTTGTTGTTGCCTATGGTACCAAAAAATTAATGTTGCAGTAACTCCGTATAGTGCTACAATACCTCTATACATTGCTACACTACTTCCATACACTACTACAGTATTTTCTGTATAGATTAGGGTTCTAATACCAATTTGATGTAGAGAAATTTGAGGGAACAGTAAAATTAGAAAGAAACACCAAACACAAGCATAATTTAAAGAAACCTAGGGTTTCTTCTCCACACCCAAGCTAGGGTTGCAAAAGCCAAAACTTTTCTCTTTCTCTTTTAATTTCTAAAAATCTTGTGGAATTAGCCCCCTCAATGCCCCACACACCTGTTTTATATTATAATTTATTGTTCCAAGTACAAAAAGTGTCCAAACAAATAATAAATTAACCCATATATCCTAACTTAACATAAAATTTGCAATGACAGTTTTACCCCTATGAACAGTAGCCGTGAACAATACTCATGAATATCACTGTGAATAGTACTCATGAAATAAATAAATAAAATATAAAACCCTAGAATTTCTAAAAAACTAAAAACCCTAGAAATAAATTCTAAAACAAAAACTACAATATACATTATTTGAAATTGAATAAAAATAAAAAATAAGGATAATTTTTCCTCCATCAAAGGCGAAAGCTGTGGTGAATTATTAATGCAAATGGTACCAAGAAGCTGAAACATGAGAACAAGAGCTGTTCCAAAGTCGTCGAGAAGACATGCTTAGTTCTCATGATTTTCATTGGAGCTTTATATGTGGAGGTTCTATACACTAAAGTGAGGTCTAGAGGGGTCTTTGTTTGTTAGAGTTTGTTTCTGAAATTCCCCTTTGATATGGTATTAATTCAATAGAGAACATCTTGTTTATATGGTATTACAAATCTGATCTTACCTTCACTAAAATAAGGGGTTTTCTTAGAAAATGATCCTTCTTAGCAACCAATATTTAAAAACTCGACAAATTCGAATCTAAGTCGCCCGAGTTAATCTAGCTTAGCAGCATGCTGGGCACGAAATCCCCATTCTTGGTAAAGGAGTATTGTTCATCAGCTCACTCAAGTTACCGTAGTCACTCAGTTATCACAGAATCAATAAGCTTCTGATAGTCTTGGCGACTGTGTTGAACCTCGCTAAGTCTAACACTATTTTGCAATATAAATGGGTGCAGAAATCCGATCCCTCTTTCTTCCACTCTTTATCACTAGAGCTTCGTCTACTCCGAAAATTCACCTTTGGGATGCTTTTTGTGTCCTCTAACAATTGTCAACATCAGATTTGAGAGAAAACATGAAAAATCTTGGATTTGTGGTATTTTGATTCTCAATCTCATGCTTGATTGGAGTTTGAAAACTTGCGATATTTTCAAAACCCTCGCTTGATTGTGCCTGAAATTTCTTCCTAGGCTTATCTTTGAGTTCTCTATCGAATAAAAGACTTATTTGCTGCAAAAAACAAAAAAAAACTCAACATCTCAGATTTGTGAAATTTTTGTACACTGAAACATCACTAGGCCTAAAATTTAGACAAAGAAAAAAAAAAGAGGTCAATGGAATCAACTTCCATTAGTTTTCATTTGGCATATATGTTTTTATTTTATATATTTTTTATTTTCATTTTTTAAATTTTTTTTATCTTTTATGATATTTTTTTTTTGCAGTTTGTTTTTTTGTGGGAACTCGCTCAACTCTGAGCAAAACTGGCGAATACACTCATGATTGGTCTAGTGGACTTGCTTCGAGTAACTAGGGAGTCCTGAAGCTAGTTTGATTTTCCCAACACTATTGATAACCATATTAATTACACTAAGACACATGTGATATTTTAATAAACATCTTTGAAGTCTACATATTTAATGTTTTGAAATTTTTTTATCATTCCTTCTTAATAATATGGTTTTATCTTAATTATTTATATCCAAATCATCATCTCTTAGGCAACTGATTGAGAAGTTTAGGGCGAAGGAAAAAGACATCCACATGGTCTTTATTGATATAAAAAAAGCTTATGATAGAGTACCTTGAGATTTGATTTGGCGGGTGTTGGAAAAGAAAGAAGTCTCCAGACACTTCATCGACTTGGTGAGAGATATGTATGATGGAGCACTAGCTAGTGTACGAACAACTAGTGGAGAGATGAATTTTCAGCGATAATAGGTTTACATCAAAGGTCAGCATTGAGCCCGTATCTCTTTGTCTTAATTATGGACGACTGAACTAGGCACCTACAGGATGAGGTACTGTGGTCCATGTTGTTGGCAGATGACATTGTTTTTGATCGATGATCGAAAGGTTTTAAAATTAGCCAGACAAAGACAATTATATGAAATGCAAGTTTAGTAATAATAACAGTAGATACGAGGAAGTAGTTAAGATTGACGGTTAGGAAGTACAAAAAAGATTGCACTTTCAATATCTGGGGTCGATAATTCAAAAAAATGGAGAGATTGAGGAAGATGTCGCGCACAAAATTAGAGCTGAGTGAGCAAAGTGGAGATGTGCAATAGGATAGTTGTGAGACCAGCTTTGCTCTATGGGGCAGAACATTGGGTGGACAAAAAACAATATATCCATTGAATGAGTGTAGCGGAGATGAGGATGTTGAGATGATGCATGGCAAGACAAGAAGGGATAGAATTCGAAATGAATCCATTTGGAAGAATTTAGGTGTGGCACTAATAAGCGATAAGATGAGAGGGAATAGACTTAAGTAGGCTGGCCATGTGTGGCACCGACCAAGTACAACAACCTGTTAGGAGTTATGTGTTAGTTCAAGTGGAAGGATTGAAAAAAGCAAGGGGTAGGCCCAAAGGGATGTGATTGGAAGTAGTCCGACTTAGGGCCTCATAGAGGGTATGGCCTTTAATAGAGCAGAATGACGGATCGGGATTTGTGTAGCCAAGCCCAATTAATTAGGAAAAGGCTATGATGATGATGATCCAAATCGTCATCCCTCTCTCTTTCTAAGATCTACATGCCTTCATATCACAAGGGGATGAATGTTAGTCCACATCAGTGTGTGTGTGTGTGTGTGTGCACATGTGTGTGTGTGTGCGCATGTGTGTGTGCGCATGTGTGTGTGTGTGCATGTGTATGTGTGTGTGCATGTGTGTGTGATATTTTCTTTTTGTCGATATTTTTATATAATATAAAATTCAAAGAGCCTATCTGAATTTTTATTGTTCAGTTTGTGGCAAACATGTTAATTTTGCCTTTCAGTGCGGGTAAGAGTATTGTTGCTGAGATCTTGATGCTGCGTCGAGTAATCACCACCAGGAAAATGGCATTGCTGGTCTTGCCTTATGTATCACTTTGTTCAGAAAAGGTCTTCTACTGTCCTAAATATGTATTTTTACCTGTTCATAAGTTATATTATATTCTATTATCTATTAAATTGGTTTGTGGCATTTTTGTTATAGGCTGAACATTTGGAAGCTCTTTTGGATCCATTGAAGATGCATGTTCGAAGTTTTTATGCAAATCAGGGGGGCAGAACACTTCCTAAGGATACATCTATTGCTGTTTTCACAATTGAGAAGGCAAATTCTTTAATTAATAAATTGTTGGAAGAGGGCCGTCTTTCTGAAGTTGGAGTAATTGTTATTGATGAACTTCACATGGTAAGGCTCGATTGCAACTATTATAATATTAAACTAACATGTTCCTTTTCCCTTAATAGATTCACTGACACGTTGCTTTCCTATTTTGGTTGGTTGTTGCATTGATCTTAAAAGTACAAGTTAACTGATGCACTTATAGTATGACACAAGGGCATGCCGACTTTTTTAGCATGACAATAACATATTAGTCTCTCAATGAATGAGGCCAAAGAACACCTGTTGGTATTGGTTTATCACAAATTGAATGATGCGTTGAGCACTCAATGGAAGTGCATGCGTCACAAAGTGTATTGACAAGTTGACGACTTCAGGAGTCTCTCAGCGAACATGTCCATAGGACAGCAATTAGTCTTGGTTGGATTATGAATCACCATTAATTTTATCAATGGATTCACAACTGTAAAGAGAAGCACTGTGAGGCATCACATACCTTTAAGAGAACCATCCTTAATTAGTAGCATGCTCGTCAAATCCTCAGGATATGGTCGCTTCTTCTGCATTCTCCAATGTTCCATCGGCATTATAAAAGACAATTTATTTATTGTTATGCAGACACCTCAAAAAATATGAAGTGATTATGTCCCGCACTTTCTACACTGTTGGCTTTCGTGGGACAGTTGTTGGTTGCTGCTGACTATGTTCGTTCTTGCTTTAGAAGTTTTGAGAATTGGAGTTTCTATGTGCCTATGTGATGGAAGGAAAAATTGTTCTATTCTTTATTTTTATTCAACTTTAAAGGGTGTATATTATAGTTTGCTTTTAGGGCTTATTTCTAGGATTTTAAATTTTTTAGGGATTCTAGGGTTTTTATATATTTTTTGTTTATTTCGTGGGAACTATTCACAAGGGCTATTAATGGGTACTATTCACAGGGGTAAATTTGTTATTATAAAATTTAAGTTTAAGGTAGGATATATAGGTCATTTCAATTATTGTATGGACTTGTAATGTCTTTGAACATTGAATTATAATATATGAAGTGTGTGGGGCCTTGAGAGGGTCACTTATACATGATTTTTATAAATTATAAGTGAGAAAAGCTTAGGTTTTTTGGAACCCTAGCTTGGGGTTTATTGAAGAAACCAAGGTTTCTTCACTTGTGCTTGTGTTTGGTTTGCTGTTTTTCCTGTTTCCCTCAAATTTCCCTGCATCAAGTGGTATCAAAGCCCGCGAGATACACGTGAGTTATTGTAGAAAGTATGGAAGTTATTGTAACAAGCATGGAAGCTACTGTAGCACATACAAAGTTACTGTAGAACCACTTTTTTTGGTGCCCTAGGTCAACAACAAAGAGAGGAAGTTATAGTGGGGTCTAGGGTTTGCTGATTTTGGCCAAAGTTTTTTCAAAACAACCTAGATCTTGCTGATTCAGCAATTGTTGTTGATTTCGGCGATCCTATGGCAACGAGAAGGGGCTATAGAAGGGGGATTTTCATAGATCCACACCGTGATCTCATAGATGGCAAAAATGAGGAACTTGAAAGGCAAGTACAATAGCTGGTGCAACAGTTCGCGAGACTTAATAATAGGAGAGACGGTGATCTTTCAGCCCAAGAAGATCTCGAGTGCATGCCTTTTTCACTTTTGCGCTTCGCCTGTGGAGTCGGGTGACGAAGATAGTGACAGAAAACCTAGATGTAGGGAACGTCACTCTAGGGTTTTCGATTTGAAGAATGAGATTTTTTTATTTTAACATAGATTGCATGGAAAGTCAAGAAGTTGTAGATTGAGATTCAACACCATTCTTTGATATATACTTATATGAACAACAATATCTTTTAGGAGATCTAATCTATGATAAGGATTAAGATGATGGTGAAGATATTCTAGAAGAGGGTGAAGAGTATGGAGAGAAAGCAACAAGAGGACTGATCCAAATCATGGCCTTTGAAGATGTCATTAATATTGAAGAGATAGAGCACTAAAGAAATTTAGGGTATTGGAATTAGAGTAATGCAGTGGAAGCATGGTCGACTCAGAATATGCAAATTGCGGCCCTAATTCCTCAATATACTTATCAGGATTCGTTTCTCGAGAAATTATCTTTACCACAAATAATATTTAAACCAACAAAGAAAAAGGTTGAAGAATGCGTTTTTGTTGCTGAATTCATCTTGACATACTTCAAAACTTGAAGACGGGATTTCTCCAACCAGGGGAGAATGAAGGAGGGAAAAATTGTTCTTATTCTTTATTTTTATTCAACTTTAAAGGATATATATTATAGTTTTTTTAGGGCTTATTTCTAGGGTTTTTATATTTTTGTTTATTTCATAGGAACTATTCACAAGTACTATTTATGTATACTATTCACGGGTACATTTTATAAAGGTAAATTTGTCATTACAGAATTTAAGTTTAAGGTAAGAAATATAGGCCATTTTAATCATTGTATGAACATGTAATATCCTTGAACATTGAATTATAATATATAAGATGTGTGGGGCTTTGAGAGGGTCAATTACACATGATTTTTAGAAATTATAAGCGAGAAAAGTTTAGGCTTTTTGGAACCCTAACTTGGGGTTTGGAGAAGAAACCTAGGTTTTTTCGACTTGTGCTTGTGTTTGGTTTGCTCCTTGCTGTTTTTACTGTTTCCCTCAAATTTCCCTATATCACTATGTGGTGAGGAGGCTGCTCCACATTGGTGATTCAAGCAGGCTAACGGGAGTTCCAAGAGGTGGAGATCAATATACATAGAGATAAAAAATGTATATTTGTGCATATTACAGGATTATTCATGCATATTTCTTGATACATGCGAACATTCCTACCTATATTGAGTGAGATACAGTGGCAAAATGTATCGTCTGCCTAGTATTTATAATCCTACTGTTACTTCTTTCACATAATGAGTAATGTGGGATTATTGGAATTCCTAAATCCTAACATAAACTTGTATGGAACATCTTTATATCAAAGTGGTAAACGAATATATAATTAGAGAAATTTACACTAATATCCTTCCAAATCACCATTATTCAAGAAACAACCCCTACCACCCCAAAAAAAGTTCATTTTTACAATTATGCCCCTTTTTTCAAAATTTTTTCCTCAAATTGCCCCTACGTTTGACCATTTGTATGGGAACACGTTTATATCAAAATTGTAAGGGCATGTTTGGTTCGTTCGTAAATGTTTTCCTGAAAATATTTTCACGTGAAAATTGCGTTTCATACATTTGTTTGGTGCGTAATGCATATGCAAATATATTCCATGGTAAAACATTTTGCCATAAAATGGCCTAATCCATGGTAAAACAAAAGCTCACCTCTTGAGGTGGGGAAACATTCCTCTTGCTTTTATTTTCACAAATAGAGCCACTATACACTATTCACTATTTACAATATAATATATATTAAATAATATTTTATTTATATATTAAGTAATATATTTTATATATAAATTATATTTCAATAATATTCAAGATATAATATAAAAATAACATTTTATGTAAATAATATATTAATTTTATATTATCTTATATTATATAACATTAGACTATATATATATATTAGTATTATATAATATTATAATAAAATACATAATATCAATATTATTAGTATGATATAATATATAATATTACTATAATATAATATTATATAATATTTTGTAAAATATTATATATATTAGTATAATATAATATTATAATAAAATACATAATATCAATATTATTAGTATAATATAATATATAATATTACTTTAAATATGTAATATTACTATAACATATTATTATATAATATTTTGTAAATTATATAATATCATATTACACAGTGTTTTGAAATGCGGGCTGCGGCCAAAAGCGGTGGGGGGGGCCGATGCGGCTCGATGCGGTCCGGATGCGAGTGCATCGTGGCGATGCAGTCAACAAATATAAAAAAATTCTAAAAGAATAGGTTAATGCATAGAAAAATATATGGAGGTGATATATATGATCATAGGTATTTTAGTTTCTTCATTAACTCCAAAAATATTAGCTGTCGGAGATTCTGTATATACTATCCCCTGTTAGAAACTAGAATCTAGCTTCATAAAGCATTCAACAATCAACAACCATAAGCACAAATCTGCAACCACAAACTTTAACGTTACAAAATAGTGATACTAAAACCAAAAGTCCATGTCTCCATGAAGATTAAAGAGTTTTGAAGTCAAGCTCAAGAAGAGTTAATACAATCATCCATTCATCATAGAAGTCATCTTGAGAGTCAATTTTGAAGTCAATTTTTCAAATACTAATCAGATAAGTCATCTTGAGAATCTTCATGTGCATCATCTTCAATATCATCCTCAACGGCCTCCACGTATTCTTTTTCCTCGGTCTCCTCTGAATCAGCCTCCTCCTCCTCAACCACTAGAGCTGATGTGCAAGTGCGACTAGACCCAGCTCTACTCCTTTGTGCTCTAATGTTAGGTCGATCTTCTTCATTAGCCCCTGTTGCTGCTCGACATCGAGCCATGTAAGATCCTCACCCTCAAACACACGCTCTAGTTTTGGATTCGTGGTCCACTCACTTGTGGAATCACCATCAACTTCATACTGATAAATAGGGTAGAGCTTCATGCGATTTTGATACCTCTCCCTAAGCTGCTCATTATACCGCTGATAAACCAAATCATTCAACTTCTTATACTCCAACTTATTTCTTTTTTAGGTATGGAACTGTGATAGAAAATTGAAATTAGATAAATTAGATTTTAAATTAGAAAATTGAAAATTGAAATTGAAATTGTAGAAATAATGATTAAGGAATAATGACAACATGCTCAAATGCACTCCAATTGCGATCACAACCAGATGAGCTGCATGTGAGACACTCGAATAGCGAGACGTTGTAGATTTGGTGTTTCGCTTCTATATAATACCCACCTTGCAGCTGTATAGTATTTTATAATTTAAATTATAGCTAAAAAATTAAGGATAAACAAAGGAATTATGCATAAAGTCATAGACAAGTAATGATACTTTTGGCCTTTATCTGGATCTATAGTGTCCCTAT